CCGTAGTGCTTCTAGCTCGGAATGGGCGGTGATAGAAATGTTTCATGGCGAAACCAATTTCCTCGGCAGTTATCCTAGGAAAGTTCTCGACGGGAACAACCCAGTGAAGCCCTGCTCCACCGGCCTTTCGTTAGGACGGGGTTGACGGGCTATTGAAAGTATCGCAGGCAACGCATACTTGAAGTAAATCTTTTGGAACATCTTAATTACGTCGGTTGCAGAATGAAATGATGAAGCGGATGTGATTTTAATCCATACGAATGATTTATAGACGAAGGTAGATGGATTCACGGATCATGCTTCGAACTATGCTCTCGATCCAGTCGAAGTAGGCGGAGACCTGAGTGCAGGAGCCGGGCATATCAGGTTGTCCGCAACCTATCGCAGCTGACACGATCCCAATCATGACATACTGACGTCTTTCACCGCCAGAAATCATCAGTTGAGTCTCCCTGGATAGTGATAAAATATTTGAAACAAAAAAGAAATGGGACTGTTTTCATTTTGTCTGGAAAAGAGTGCTTCTTTTCACCGAGTCTTTGTCTTCCGCGCCGGCACAAAGGACTCTCCTCATAACACCACGTGGATAAGATGCTCTTAGGAAATTATACTTTTTCACCAAACTCCCACAATTTGAAGGATCCATGAGTGCAATAATGGCTTTCTGCAGGACCTTACTCATTCGTCTTCCTGTAAATCCATATGAGTGGCTCGGATTTTCATGGATTATGCTGCGAAATGAAGTCGATGAGAAACTGAGAGAAGTCGCTCCCCATCCGGCGACCCCCCCCCCCCCCGTCGGTTAGCGGCGAAGGGATGTCCTCGTCGGTTGCGAGACACGCCGGGTGGACGATGCATTGAAGAAGGACTTCCTTGTCCAGTCGCACCGGGGCCAAATCGTGATATTCTCGCTCATGAATCGGTCTCCAAATAAAAGCTAATTACTCAGAATGTATACAGCCGAGTTCAATGACATATGACTCACATGATAGCCAATTCAATATACTTTTTATCGAGGAATGTTTCAGTATCGCATGAGAACTACTATAATGAAATTACACCACAAAAAATTAAAGAACCCAATTTGGTACAACTGAAGCCCGTAAAAGACACAATCCATCCTGAAAATATCAATTTATTCGTGTATTTTTCATGCATCGAGAGGGATTGCCTGTGTCATGGATGACCCCAGTATCCTGCAGAAGACGGGCATAGCCATTTGGTTTGATAATTAGAAGAGAGCAAATTTGTGCAGTTGAAAATTTGGGAGTTTCCTCAGTTTGGGTCGAAATGCTTCAGTTCCTGATGAGGTCATAAAAGCAATTCATGAGAGGTTTCTGAACCTGAAGAGAAACACCTGCGGACAGATGACATCCTGGATATGCTGAAACATGCCATTAGAGATGCCTTCGCCACAGTAGGACCAAATATAACTGAAATAATTATGCTGACATTGAAAGGGAGACTGCAACAAGTCATTGGACATTTTGAAAGTGTAACGCTAATGATTTGCGGCTTTCATTTGCAATAAATGTTTAAAAAATTTCCAGTCTTTGTTTTAGAATGATGACCTGTTTTGAAACAAAAATTGATTGAATTAGTTATCGTTTGAGTCATATATCGTTGAAATCGAATGAGTACTTACTGAGCTTTCACTTTTTGGGAGACAATTGCGGAGAATCCTTCTCAATATCCAAAGATTCCCAATGTATGCCATAATCGTTTCCTATACGGAGCAGCCATTCTTCCTCTTCAACGAAACGTGCAAAGCAAAAGTTGAAAGAATCGCAAGCGAAGACACAAACGACTCGTGGGTTTTCTCTCTTCCAGTCAGGATGAATGATTTTGGGAAATGTAGTAGTTCTCGCTGGCCTTATACTTCGTGTTTCCAAGATCCTTTTCTCCCAGCCTCGGCACCAGTGTCTTACTGAAATCGAGCGATACGTCGGTGACATCGTGAGCGCTGTAAAATGGGAAAAGGTAATCCACGGGTATAAAATGAATGAATGACTGACTTAGTATGAACGCGATGGGCAGCTGTGAGAATCCCTCTGAGGCTGATGGGACTTCTCATAGGACAAGCCTTTGCGAATCGTCCTTGGTCCTGCCATCGACGAAGTCAAAGAGGCGCTCTCCGTGCAACTGTATCACAAGTACATGAGAGGCACAAAACCCACTGAAACGCCAGATGAGATTGCCGGTCACGGCAAATTCATTGTACTAGGTAAATGTTTAGCCACCATACAAGTTCTGGGTAAGAAAACTATTAATAGAATTGGGTGTCTGCGCCCCCGTCTGATGCAACATATTTCCCAAGCATATACCACGTATATATCCTATGTCTGATGTTTGACGATTTCAATTTCATATTTCAAGATATTTTTTTGTGTGGATGTGATATCCCTTACGTAAAGATCCTATACCATCCGATGAGATTTTCGAAACAAAAATATTACAGGATTCTTATAGGAATCCTATAAGGTTCGTAGAGGACCCTATTAGATTTTTATAGGATACAATATGAATAATGTAGAAATCTTATAAATGTTCATGTTTCAAAAATGTTATTGGATCCTATAGGATTTTTCGTAGGGAATGAAAAATGCAAATATCCTCCACCTCTTTTGTTAGACTTGGTTCTCTATGGAAACTTCTTCAGTAGGTTTCAATTAGCTTTCGGGGTCTTATGAGCTCGAGGGGAGGACGCCTGCGGGATGAATCAAGAATTAACTCCGTACTTATTCCACATATTTTAAAATCAGTCTCGAACACTTTTCGAGGAAGGGATCGGAGCTCAGGAAAATTTACTTGTTCTCGTCCAGGAGAGAAATATTTCCAGCAAAAGTAGGCTCAATGGAAAGGTCTCGTCAAAAGCTCTCCAATTACGCACTACTATCTAGTGGCAGGTAAACCTGTTGCAAACCGGAGGAAACAAAGTGCTCAGCTGTCGTGCAAAGAGTCTTCAAGATCTTCAGAGACTACCACCCGAACGTGCTCAATGAACGTTTCATTAAAGGTACAGCTAGCGTTTGGTGAACGTCATTGGTAAGGTTCTATAGACGACTTAAATCTCAGAATTTTTTAGATCGATCAAAACAGTTAGAGTTATGAGTTCCCCGAGCGACGGACTTTTCGGGACTCATGCAATATGCAATTAACATTTTGGATATTTCCTTTTCATCACTTAAATTGCATTCAGTCCAAGTGAGCTCAGCTCCCGTGGCAGGTGTCAGAGGTTATTATGTACCTGATTCGTCTGTTTGAAGAACTATCTTATTCTCTATTCCATTTTCTAGGAAAAGCCTGGTGGAGAAGTGTGTGGTAAAACAGTGGTTCTACGAAAATTTTCATCATATCTGCAGCTACCTCATATGTAGAAGTCAGTACTGAATTCTCTCTTCATGAGGGATATTCACTTTCACCGTTCCATTTTTTACTTTCTCACTCCACTTTGTTATTCCATTAACAAAACCCTGAAAATGAACCCATCTACCCTCTATCATTCAAGCCAGAATTTTCTAGAGACTTCTTGGACTATATTACTTCAAAAGGCCGATTTGTTGAAGAACGAATTTTCTTTGAAAACACTGAACGTCATCGAGAGAGTTCATGTGTTACTTGAGCACTGTCACAAGTATATAGGAAAAATGTCTCATTTGAATAGTGATCATAATTTGCCCAATATCATGTGAATGGAGCATTCTGTAAACATAGGCGAAGAAAAATAATTATTTTTTTGTGCGGACCCGAAACGACAACTCAACACTGAGCCCGCCGATGTCATTTATCAATGCTCATTTCACCCATCACCCCACATGGCACCTCAGCAAGTCAATGGAGCATTGTTCCCATAAAGCAAAAATAATGATCCCAGATTATGGCAGCAGGAAGCAGGCCCTGCAGTAAGCGATGCCACCGTTTCCTTGCGAGTACCACAGCAACTCTCGTTGCCTCGTTCGCCCAGGAGATGGTGAGATGAGAGCGAATGTCCGATTTTCCATGAAAGTTTGCCTCACGCTTGTGAGGCCGATACGGAAATATCATTTCTCTAAAGCGCATCCTCTGACGATGAATAGGAATTCTGTCGAAGCTCATATCTCGAAGCGTTTGGGCTGTAGAGTTTTCGCACACACGCATAAACAAACATTCATTTGTTAACTCGACGTACCTAGCGGTCATGATCGCGCACGCTGTGTGTTTACCCTCCGGAGCTCGGTTGCTTCACGACTGAGGTCGTCCGGTTTGAATAATTTGCATATTTGTCTTTATTGGTCTCAAAGATACTATCTCTGGAAAAATAACGGTTTACTATAGATGACCTTTTACATTTTACCTAACGTTATTTAAGTTTTCAGTTACCGCTCGAATTGGCACATGGTAAACATTACTGACTTCTACAGACTGTACTGATCGCATTTCTCAGAAACGCGCTTACATTAAACTTTTTCCGGCAATGAAACGGAACTAAAAATGAGTAACTTTTTAAAAATAATATTCCCTAGATAACTTTAACAATATTTCAGTTAATGTCCCTCCCTCATTACTGAAACAATTCGTTCATACATCGATTCCTCCACCCCCCCTTCCCCAACAATATGTCCCAAAGGGAGATATATGGAAAGAACATATCGGCTTTTAAAATGCTTCTCACCAGTTAAAAATGTGCCTAAGTTTCAATTTGTCTCTCCGTTACGTCGGAGCGAAACACTTTCGTAATAATTCTACTTCAATGACATTGTCCTTTGGGAATGTACCTCCAAAAATGAAAATTCCTTTAAATCAATACAACAAGAGATACAGAATTACCAAATGTAAGTTATCTACTTTTCAGCGTTAAAGGTTCCTGCCGCAAAAATGTCTGGAAGATAATGCTCTCAAGTAAAAAAATAGTCCTTAGGGATAAACTTCACAAATAAAAACCGTCTTATTATTGGCATGGAGAGAATCACTTCCATAAGCAATTTTAAGGATCACGCAACATGTTTTCAAGTTTCTGAGATTCATGGGTCATCTTTCCAGACGATCCCCTCGATCCAATCCAAGTAAGCGGGAATACGGGTGTAAAAGCCAGGGAATTCTTGAGTCGCGCATCCGACGCCACTTGCAACGGTCCCCAACACGTAATGTTGGCAGCTGCCTCGACCGATCATGAGCGGACCGCCTGAGTCTCCCTGAGCAAGAAAAAATTTCCCGAATGGAATGAGGGAAGCTAGCATTCCTTCCGTATTAGGATGGGATTCGCTTGTCACCTGACAGGAGTCTTTGTCTTTGTCGCTGGCGCAGATGATTCGGGTCGTCGCCCCATTCGGATAGGGTCTCCTGAGGATGTCATGCTGTAAGATCTTCTTGTTGCATTTGGAGGTTTCCCATATGGAAACACGAACTTTCTGCAGGACGTTGGATCGATTCCCTCCTGAGGAAGATTCAAGCGAACCGTGAGACCGGCAATGTCCTTCACAATGCATGTTGTAACACAGGATTAAATTTAACTGAAAGACGTGGTTCCCCATCCGGCGACAGTGACGTTAAGTCTTCCAGGCGGAATATCTTCCTCTGTCGGGAGACACGCCGGGTGAATGAATCATTTAATGGGGACTTCACGATCCAGTCGAACCAGGCCGATGTCGTGGTATTTTTGTGCCTGAAAGGAACATCACAGAGTCCGTTCAAAAGAGTGTTCGTTGGAATGCTAGGGTTCACACGTGGACCAATCTTCATCTATCCTTCTCTATCAAGATGAAATAACGAAGTATTTTCACAGTCTGTCATTCAACAGGACTAAGTCAACCTGTAAAGCATTTTACCATGAAACGAAAATCCTGTTCATTAAGTGACTCTATCTATGCAATTTCTTGATGTATCCTGGATTTATTATTGCACTTTTTCAAAGTTGGAAGATTTAAAGAGATAATTCTTGAAGCGGATCCAGGAAAGAGACCCAATAATTCAGGAAGCTGAGGGAATTATGTTGCATTATGACACGGCAAGAAAGTGTCCATTCAAACAATATTGGTAATTTCCGGCTTGATTATTTTCGTCTTCAAGTACTTCGTGTATCACTGCTCACGTGATCTTCATTTTAGGCGTGCACCGATTTGAAGCTTAGTGAGCAATCATCAAGTACGCCGAGAAGGTTTAGTAATTCCTCATGAAATACTTTCATGCTTCAGTTGAACTGTTTTTGGGAAACCTAAATCCCTTTCTTGAGTAACTACTGATGCACGTCAATCCCACTGTTTACACGAACATACCAAATGATTTTAAAATGAAATCAGTGTATCCACCGTTCTTATTAGAAAAATAAAAATGAGTTGTGACTCCATAAGCTTCGAGAATTCCCTGCTTCCCACTCGGGGTGAATCACGACCTCCGTCACGTTGTAGTCCTCGGATGTATCGTGATCATTGCACTTCAGGTCGTGTTCTCCGAGTCTCACAATCAAACTCTGACTGAAATCCAGCAAAAACGCAGTTCAAGTCGAGTTGTACTTAGCAAAGAGAGGGAGATGAACTGATAAGCACTCCCTTGGAGTTCAAGCAATGGGCAGATGTGAGGATCCATCTTTGGCTGATAAGACTTCCACCACAATACCATGTTATTTCTCCATTTTTCTTTACACCAAGATTAACCTACAATACAATGTGCATAATCGATGAAGCATGCAGGAAGTGAAACGTAGGACTATTGTCTCGAAAGTTAGAGTTGATGTCGATGACAAGGACTAAGATTCAGCTATAGAGTGGGAGGGCGATGGGACCAATATTCGTAAATTAATGGGAAAGGACAATCATTATCATCTTAATATATACATTTTTAGGTGCAATATTATATGTGTCTTATCCGTGCAATCAGAATCACTGAAGATGGTCCTTTTCCCTGGCGAAAAACATTCGGATTGAGACCATGAAACGTAGCCCATGCTGAAACTTAGCATTAACCTCCAGAGACCTGACTGTTCCGTACGATTCCTGTACTTGCAAACTTGGTACACACTCATGACCTGGAGGTTGAGAGGTTAATTGGAGTAAGCGATATGGATTCTCGGTGTTTATGGTTAAGGGATGACGATAAAGTGGCATCAACGACATCGAGTTCATGTGCTTATCTTAGATTTAAAGTCAATTTCTAGGTGATTTAATGAAATGTTCATGTAGAACCAATTCTCATAATAAAAAGATGAACTTGCACAGAGGATTTTGAACTGAACACTTGCCATATGAGAGAACTCGAATTCCTCAGCTGCCATTCCACCGACGATCAAGCCTTGAGGATTGCGGTCACAAATGTTTTCACTGGCCCCAGATATCCGAGACCTGTACTCATTGCACTCTGAAAGAAACAAAGCATTTAAAAAATTGTTTACCACTTTTTTTTTGGAACCGGAACGAATCGACATACATGCTCGACTGATCCGTGGCTCTTGTGGCATTCGCTTGCAGCATATGTGGGGGAGTCCGGAAGAATCCAAAAACATAATCGCGATCGGAGAGCAGAGGGATTTTCACGCAACTGTTGGAAAGCACCGGGACAATCCATGATCCGCAAACATTCTCCCACATGTGGAGGACAAATCTCCTTTAGGGTCTGGTTGAAGCCTCGAGGCAGACCGAAGACCATCCAACAGTGGAAGGAGACGAGAAGGATGTAATGGGAGAGCTCCACGAGAGCCATCTCGATCTAGGTCTGTGTTTGTCCCTGCATCCATGAAGTCTATATATACGCTCTGTTTCTCGTCCATTCCCTATTTAGTGTTGCCGGACATGAGACCACCAGAGATTAGGCGACAGAAGTGAGACCACTGAACATGTGATAAAATTCATTGAACGGAATGAAGAGAGGAAATGTTTAACATGTATGGAATTCCCGCGTCACTTTTGTCGAATCATTCACATTTGATAGTTCTGCGTCATCCTGTCCATGCGCAACTTTCCCCGTTCTAGCCAAACTACAAAGGATTTTCCGCTACCCTGCTTTAACATTCGCTTGACTTATTATAATTGGTTTCAGCAGTTTCCTAAACAATTTAAAAACTACCAGCGGCCTGTGGCCGCAATTGGGATCTTATTCCCAAACTTCTTCATCACCGCTCATCAAAACAGAAGGTCTTAACCCGATTTCCTCCGCCAAAAATTGATCTACACCTCACGATGGAAATTATGGAAATAAAAGATGCTGAGGCCCAGCGTGCTACACCTGCCAGTATACTCGAAAAATCACCAACATATTTTCAACATTTGTGAAGCGAACGATGAAGAAACGCGACACACTTGGAAGAGAAACGTAAGTTTTATTTCAAATTTCACAAAAGTTGTCCTGACTAACGGATTCGACAACCAAATAAGTTCTTCATGAACTACATCGTCGGTAACGATGTCAACATCATTTTGCCATGATGTTTTGCAGCAGACCGACCCGATCAAATGTCTGTCCCTGAGAATTGTTAATACTCATATCTAGGCAGGCTCGACAGGGAATCGACGTCGACAGAGATCGAACGGTATGCTGACGTCGGTTGACATATCCAGTACAACTGTTGGCAGCAAATGAACGCTCCCACGGGCCCCATCAATGATTATCTCGTATTGTATGACGTTTGTGTTAATGTCTCTCACCATCATGTGTGTGCCGTTGTGAAGGGCGTTCCCGATCAAAAGATTCGCAGAAGCATCACGATTTCTCCAATCCTAATATTTAGGGCGTGCGGAGGGAGACCCGGAGGATCGAGTGTCGAGGAATTCAACCGATTGTTGACCTGGTAATCGGCATCATCAACATTTTCGTTCTAGTAGCGTCGACACTGCGTTAAATGCTCATTTTGCCTTCCAATCGGTACACGTCGCCATGGACCAAACGGCTGTGCTCATTCCTGAGACACAGAATGACGCGTTTGGTGCTACTCACCTCGACATCCCAGACCCTATGCCGTCGTCCAAGTGGATCGTTCACCAAATTATCGGAGTTACGATCGTCTGGCAAACGCACGGAGAGCCCAGATCGACCCCAATGTACTCTCGAAATTGTTCCGGTGCACACATCAAGTGATCATTGAGCAAAAACCATATTACTTGGTGACTTCATTGTCTCCGTTACTGTCTTGTAGTAATATGTTTTCGAATAAGTTTAATGGTAAAACGTATTTCAGAAGTCAAACTTCTTTATGATCACACGAATATATTTGACTTACAATTTATGCATGTCCAGTTGAATATAATTCCAAGCGTATCATGGCAGTTAAACTAAGGAAAATCACCAATTTCGCAGAGATTAGGAAAGAGTTGGAAAAATATCATTCCATTTTGCAATGTGTAATCGAAATGCACATTTTCTTTTAGCTGAGTTGTATTATTATATTTTCCCTTTCATTGCAAACGAGCACATTTTGTTTTTAAATGATCACACGCATTATCTAATAATAAATGTTAATTTACTTGGATAATTACATGCTGGGGATTAATGTAAAATGCTCAGGCTCATGTTTTCATGTTTCAGTTGTCCGCACGGAAACTGGAGTTGTATCCCATCATGCAGACTATCTCAAAAATGAGATTGTATTGCGATGGTGACATTTTGTTTTCTCTATTCCTCAATATTTTTTATACTCCGGAGTTAATCGTAGTTCACAATCTCTCAAGTTCATAGGAGGGGAAATACTTTTTTTTTAGATGTAAGTGACTATGCTCGTAAGGGAAAGTAGTAAGATTCTCTGTCGCTGTTTTTAATGATGTCGCAGTGCTACAATAAATAAGTTATCAATGGCTCTCGCGTTCCCGCTGGAAATGTTGAAGCTCTTTCAATCGATTCAAAACTCAATTATTTACCGAATTGAATTGAGCGCACTCAGCCAATAAGGAATAGATCATGCTATATGGGTTCGACTCTCTCAAAATAGCAGAGAATGGAATTATAGTTTTTGTATTGGAAAAAAAGGAATCGTATATTTCAAGATAGCTTCTTAGTTTAAAAAAATATTAGACACACGTCATAAATCGCAAGCATTGGTCAATTGTCCACCAACGTTTGATAGGGGGTTTTCGTTGTCCTAGCACAATTGCTTCCACTTTATATTTTGCTCCGTGCCCCCATCAGCGGTTGAACGTCTGTCATCCAACAATAATGCCCATCGCGTTCCAAAATTGTTTTGGAAGAGAAGCTGTCCGGCACGTGGATGAGTATGATCACGTATGAGACCAAATAGTTCCAAGACCTCATTTGGTGTTGTCAAGCTTATCCTTTATCCATTGTACGAACCTGAAGAGTGAACAAGTAAAGTATTTTAGTTTCTCGATCCCTAATAAGAGAATGGGGAAGGATATGAAAATAGAAATAAGAGAGAGATGAATTTGGCTCTAACCGATTGACTTTGGTGAAGATGCCGTATTGGCCAGGACGCCTCATGGAACACTCTTCTTTGCTGAAGAAGTGACTCACGATCCCTTCGATGGTCCAGTGACTGTCTCCCGATGGACCAGATAGCAGAACCAGGGGACTCCCCGAATCCCCAGGACAGACACTTTGGTAGGCTATACAGAAATTAATATCTTTTGTATTGAAATGATAAAAACTTAGCAGTTTTCTGAAGAGCGAAGTACGTTTTGCCCTTTCGCAAAAAAAACTTACAATGCTCACAGCTTCAGCGCGGAAGAATATACGTAAATCGATCATGTTCGCCAAGTAAGGGCGCTATCAGCGTTCAATGCATTTTAAGCGGTAAAACTTATTTGATTACAGACATGATTTACTGTCAAGTCATCTCACTTCCGGTCATTTGACGACACTGTAAACATGAGTTTAACAGCCCGAAACTAATACCCGTCTGTTAGCAGATAACGATTTCCTTGTCACCATTACTAGATTTGGAAAAAACCAGAGGAGCATATCAGTGTCCTCCTCTGGTATCGCACCGGCAGATCATTTACTCTTTTATTTGGGACAGCAAAGATTTCGCTTCATTCGATACAATATTGACATTAAGTCTATCACTTTCATTCTGCAATAAGAGAACTCCCTTCCCCCTCTGCCTTGGTATAATTTACGAGTTCTCCATGAAAATATAAAAATACTAGTTGAAGTACCCGGCATTGCCCGGGGAAATTCGATATTTCCATATTTAAAGCATGAAAATTTGGGGAACGATAACCTTATGGTTTCGTAGAAATTAATGATCTTGAGTGTCGCAAAATGCGCTCGGACCCCTTTCCATTTTTTACCTTAATTCATTGGGGAGGGGTTTGAAATGTTAAATTTGATCGCTTTGTAGGTCGCTCTGAAAATTGCTTTGATGAACGCCTTGAATAATTTAAAAATTATTTTGGAGTTAAATACTTAATGGTAAAATGTTTTTATCGTTTTGAAACATTTTCGATGAATACTTGATAAAAAGAATATTTCTTGCTTCCTACTGTAGTGATCCAGGAATGGGATTACCCCAGGGTACTGTTATGCAGGTGGCCCGGGAGGGGAGAGTTGGGTGGCATGAGAGGACGAAAAAAGACTGGGGACGGGCGGGAATTGAACCCAGGCCTTCTGATTGCCGGTCAGGAGTGCTACCACTGCCCCACCGAATCCAGGAGTCAGGCATACCTCTCAAAGCCATTCCAGACACTGCAGTACTGCGGAGATGTACCCCAGGAGTTAGCATTTTGGATCTTAACATAGCCCTCGTCCTTCCCTGCATGAAAGGAGAAGCCATGCAACTTCGGTTGCACTGGCTCCTGTGGGGTCCGAATGTATAAAGGAACAGACAGACAGACAGAGAGGCGGACAAACAAACTTTCTTCTTCATATATATAGAGATATTGTAACTGGGACAATTTTCCCCAATGTTAAGTTCTCAGCAATTTGCGCTCGTTTCAAAGGTGCGCACAATAGTTTCATGATGCATGGTCTAACATTTTTTATCAGTCGATTACTCGTTAATTGATTATTTTGCGGGAACGTTTCATCACTGAAACGCATGTATTTTTTGAAGACTACCAAGCAGTATGACAGTGAAATGCTCTTTTAATAATTCGAGATAGTAGGAATTACATTTAAATCAGTCCTTATTGCTTGCACTTGCCACTCCATACTCGTCCATACTAGTACGTTGAACAGGCACGTATTTACCTAAGTTACAGAATATATTGATGGAATTTATTCGAAATGTTTCTTATGTTGCTCTACATTGCAAGTCGATGGAATGTTGCTGCGACGCCTCTACGAATGTTATTGCAACATTCCGTCATAAATATTGAAAAAAAGTTGACACTTGATATTGACAATATAGCAACAACATTTTGATACAACATGGACTTCAAAGTTTTGGGGGATTGCTAAATTTTCTCTCATGGCGCGAGATGGAGGCGAAGGTTTCGCTTTTGAACAGTACAAAGTAGTGCTCTTTTCCCCTTTCCTAGAATCATCCCTCACAAAAATTTTTTAGTACCTCTCCATACATCTCGTCCATTCTCATTATAGGAATCAATGAACACGGCCATTTTATTTGTTATCCACATATTCCAGACAGATCCATGGAGCCTGAAAGAAAGCAAACTCATATTTGAAAAAAAAACCTTTTAAGAACTTGGCGATTAGAGGAGATTGAAAACAATGAAAGTGAGTCTGTGCGATGAATGTATCACGTCCTCATTCTGTTCTCAGAATAAGGTATAACTGGATTGAATTAGCGGACACTCCTTAGAACTTTGCTGGTGGACAATTCCTTGAAATGTGCAATATTTACCGTATTCAGGGGAAAGGTACCTCACAAAATGTACTATGTCCCGCTTGCTTAATCTATAGACGATCGTGAGTGAGTGACCGAGTGATTCAATTAAGCAAATTCTAACTATGTTCTATTTATGGTAGAAACCTGAAACTTCATACACATGTACATATTGGGATGCTGTGATTAGAAAAAATCAGACTTTGGAGATAAATTCCGGGAGGGACACAAATTCCGGGGGGAGATGTTTCCAATCATTTTTTTCCAGTCAAATGGAGAAACAATGAAAGCCGAAACTGAGCATGAACGTGACTACTGAGACATGGAGTTCAGGAAAAATGTAAGACTTCCGATACATACTTGGGGCACATTTTCTAGCTGTGACCGTTTTCAAATAATGGTCTTTTGTACCACGGAATTGCACAAAGATAGAAAGGTGAAACTTGGCACTCGCACATCTGAAGTGATGATGAGTTTAAAAAAAATTGTGGTGCATACCATTAGGACACAGGTTTTGGGTGGGTCGGCTTTTCCAAATATATATTATTTTTCACCAGAAAAAATGACAAACGGAAAAAGTTGAACATTTCAAGGCATGTCGTTCTCCGAGAACTGTTTTCAATAATAATAATTATTTAAAAAAAAAAAAATATATATATATATATTTTTTGGTAAACCTCCTTAGGGCGCATTCTTTGGCAAAATGCGTATTTTCCTAAATCTTTCCGGATCCAATGAAATAGAGAACTTTCGTAAGCTAAAACTAAAAACCAGAAGTACCTGTTCTTTTGCTGAGTGCATGTCCTACTTTAAAATATGTCCCCTCGGGGCAGCTTATAAAGAGATTTGAAGTTAGGCACAATAATTAATTGGGGTAATCATTCCAGAAAAATATCGGTTCCTTCTCTCATGGCACACATTTCGACAGGGACATGCATTTAATATTTTTGCCACTTTGAAAATGAATGAATTAATTAAGCACTATCCTGGAAAATGCTGCGCTAAAGGCGCGACCATACCAAATTCGGTTACAAGTTCGGTTTCAAACAAGCTCGATAGTACGTGACACAGACACTGCATGATCAATGGGCAGGGATTATACTATTATTGGGTTCGTCCTGTTGATGGGAACGTCTGGGTAAGGAGTTATATTATAATAGTTGAAAGCCCGTGTACGCACTGGGTGATTAGACGGTGGATTTCGATTTTGTTCACTAGTTGACGATTGCTGGGAAAAAAAATTGTCAATGGAAAATAATCACAGTTTAACGCACTTGGTAACTGCCCCAGGCCGAGCCCATGCCCAATGTATTTTTTACCACTGATCATATTTAGAATCTGTCTCATTTGCTTAGCGTCGGTGGGGACGTTCGGCCCCGGTACTCGGAAGTTAAGAGTGATCGACTTCATTATGACTCTCACGCGCAATTCGCTTTCTACTACGATCTTCGACTCGAAGGAATCATCCAGCTATTTCTCCATCGATAATTTTGTGTCATGATAATGGGATTATTCGAAGATTCGGTTCATTACGAATAGCCAGCATTTAATTGATCTCTTCATATTCTGCGTTAAATTCTCAAATTCAACCATATCTCATTGCTTCAACCTTTTTTCAGTCCCAAAGCCTACAATGGATCTTTGAAATAGCATGACTCTCACGCGCGATTCGCTTTCTCCTACGATAATCGGCGCGAGGGTATTTTCTAGTTGTTTCTGTCGAAATTTGTGTGGCATGACAAAGATATTATTTACCTCAGGAAAAAATTCAAAATTTAGGTTAAAAACAGGCTAATACGTCCGTAAATGCTCAGAGAGACAAAACTAATTTGCACTCAGGGAGACATGAACAACATGCACGCAACACTTAGCAACGTTTCCACACCGATTTGTAAACGATGGATGTAATGCTGCCGTAACGTTGAAATAAAACGCAATACAGAGTTGAAAATAGGATGATGTGTCACGTTGTGCCAATTATGTCACTAGTCACTTGGACATTACCTTTTTTTCTGAGCCTAAGCGCTAATGTTGATTAGAACTTGAAATTGCTCTAATGAGTGCAATTATACCACGGAAGGGTCCATCCGAGTAAATTTCCTTAACTGGATCAGATCTGGAGTTTAGTACTTGAATTGTGCAACTCATTCCTTCAATATTGTCTCAACGTTTCAACTTTTTGTCAATGTTGACACAACATTATTGGGCAGAACGAGTAGAACATGCGTGGCATTCAATCCTGCAATGGGTTTAGGTTAAGAATTTTATTCAGGCTGGCCTAGTCTCACATGTTCTCAGGGGATCTTTTCTTCATTTCATATTATCTTTCCCTGAGGAAAAGTCAGCAAAAATCATAATGAAACGTGTGCTAATGCTAATAGCCGACATTATGATATACCCGCGGGTGATGAGAACGATGAATACTTCTCATTAGAACTAAGTCTGAGCTTTGATGAGAAGTCAAGCGTAGAAAATTGGTGTCGTACGGTAGCAGTTACCTCGACTGTACAGAGATGGCGTCAGGGCTCTCTCAATTCAGATTGACCACAGCAGGATCAAATGTCAACAGTTTTGCGGTGTAAAAGCGAATTCTAACAAAGGAAATTCAGGCCTTTCGAATGATGTACTAATAATGAATGATGTATGCAAACAAACTTTGAGAGTTTTCATAACTATTACTACATATCACGTCATTTTAGGCTAATTGGTTACTTCATTATAAACATGTGAAAGTATTACCTCCTTTTTGAATTACCATGTATTTAATCAATATGCAAGCATTTAGAGGAACAATGCAAAATAATTTTGTAGCATTCAAGAAACGTTTTTGTTTTGGACATTTACACACAGGCAACATTGTTCATTAACATTACCTAAACGGAGCTGGAATATCTTGTATTTCTTGGGGAGGTACATATGTTCTAAAATATGTATGACATGGTTTCATCCATGCTGTACATTCTCTGGAATTCAAGTTGGAACTTCTAATTATGCAAAGTTCAATATCTAAGATTAAGAAGAGGAAGACCATTTGAGACCTGGAGATTGCTTTGGTAGAATTGATTCACCAGATACTCTCATTCATTGTATGTAATACATGTATGTAGACTAATAGTGCATACTGCCATAATAAAATTAAGTATGGCAGTTTTCGTACTTTCAGATGCTTTAACAGCATTCACATTTTCCTATTCCCAGCGAATAAATCTCATCTTCATTATTTTACTCCTATTGTGTTCTTCCTGGGACAGTAAGTCAGGATGACATAGACAATCAGCAGTCATGTCGTGAATGAATTTAGTTCCAGAAAATTATTTAGGTTTCTAGGTTGGGCAAGATCGTACCTTGGAGTGGTGTATCCCTATCGTGTCCGGCGCAAAACACATTTGAAGTCAGGGAATTTGCGGCAGTGGGGTCCCCAGTGAAGTGAGCTGTGTCCCGGCGACAATGAGAGTTGGATATTAAAGGAAGTTCCACTTTCATCAAGACATTCGGGAGCATATTCGAACTATCGGCACCCCAGCTAGCCACCTGCGATGAAGAAACTGTGTATGCCCATGGAACGGAATGTCGGTAATATTTGAACATACCCTGCTCATATTATTTCATGCAAGAAGAATGTGAAAGAACAACCAAATTATTGGGCTAAGGATTAGGCTTATGGTAAATATTTTCCCTTAACATCCGAGACCATAATATTAATTATAAATAATTAAACTGTGCTTAAGCGTTTAATACTTTTTTTTTCTTTTTCGCAGCTAATAATTTTTTTGGTTTTACTGATGTCTTTGAACATGGGAAAAGTGGAGAAAAAGTTTCCTCTAAATTCGTAAACAGAAGGCCTGAAAACGTTATTGTTGCTCATTTGCAGCAAAAATACTTTCGACCTTAATCACCTTTTCTACATCATATAGTAATGAGCTAAATTGATTGAATATTAACATAATTACAAATTAGAATGTAGGCAATTCTTGTGAAAAATCTAATTATAGAAATAGAGGAATAAAAAATGGTTTCTCTTCAAAAGTTTCAGATTGAAATCCTTCTCCTATATCACTTTCTATATTATCCTATATTCAGGCCTCCCTCTGGTCCTTTATTAGCCATTACATTCTGCAAAAGTCAATGATTCAAATTTTTTCTGAAAATATAGGTCTTTCAAGCAAACTTGTGACAAAAGTTTGTCATGCAACGCTTCTGTTCTTTTCAATGTGTTTTCATCTAGTGTGATGTGAAGCTGAACCTAAAAGCAAGTCTTGCTTATTGTATGTATACTTTTACTCCTGATGTCCAGGGTCTCCCAACAAATCGGAATGATTTGATTTTTCGATACAATTTTTAATTCTCAACATATTCTGATCGTGTTATATATATAGTTGTAGAGCGTTTTAAGAGATTTTTCTGACACTAATTTGGACGCAAACGGTCGAGAATAAATGAACTTAAGGCATTCCCAGTCGACACTTCTTTTCGCGCTGCTTCTCTCAATTTTTAGCCGCCTAAATGCGGGTGGAAATGGGTGCTAATTGCGCTTACCGTCTCTCTGATTTAAGGGAAATGGAATACGTTTTAGAAGTAGTAAAAAATGGAGATTCCAGGTGAAATCGCGCAACGGGAGAAGCCCAAGTTAATTGGCAATGATCAATGGGCAATTTTTTTTTTATAGTGCACGTCCACGCGTACGGTGGCGCGAATCGACTCGCTGAAACTTCGCTCTTCGTGAGTCATTTCAAGGGCCTTATCTAAATCTGCTGATATGTCAGGCCTTGGCCTTGAAGGGCCATTCTAGGCCTTGCCGATTCGAAAAAGATACACTACGAATCAGTTTTCTTCCTTACAGTCATTTAATCATTCCAATAAATTGTATTTGTTGCAATACATACCCCATTTTTCAATTAATAGAATACCTCACGGAAACCGTTGTAATTCCTTTCTCATTAGTCAGTTTCAGTTCAACAAGGTATAATTTATATTCTCTCGAAATATTCTATATAACTTATGAACGCGATTAGAATCGGTGCTTTATTAGAAGATTTAAAAAGTATTTTTTTAAATCATATCGTTACAATTCGTTGGGACACCTTGTGCATGGAAATTTCATGTTACTTATTAGATCATGTGTAGTTGACCGGTGAACTTCGAATGAGAAGGTAAATTTTATCAATTAATTTTAAAAACTACTAAACATTTCTCTGATATTTCCTTAAAGGCCAAAGAGTACCTGTTGAAGAAGAACAACATCAGCCCTGATCTCATGCACCAAGTTGCGCCTAAGGTGTGGATTTTTCCCACATTGCTGGTCTCGCAATTTCTTCAGATAGGATGCCAAAACCTTAGAGGTACATGGTGGAGTAGAAGTACCTTCAGGTACCTCTACTCCACCATGTACCTCTACCTGAAGGTACCTCTACTCCACCATGAAGGAAATGAACCAATATGACCTTGGCTGACTTAAGTGTCATTCCTTGGTTGGTCAAGCACATTCGAACTCACTACAAAATATGACAAGATTTTCATGAATCAAGGCAGTGTGAATTGTTGAAAGATGCCAACCTTTAGAGAAGTCGTTGCATTCGTTGGACTAAGACTTTCATAAAGACATAGAGCATTTTGCTGAATACAAGACTACTACTTTCCTGGATGTGGTGTTCAAGAAAACTTCCTCACTTGAGCCCAACTGGGGGCAGAAGGTTATTGATTTTGTTCTTAATTAGTAGGCACTCATTTGCCAAGAAGGAAATCTCTGAAATATCTCGAGAATATTTGAAATTCACTTGGTGAATTTACTTCGTCATAAGAAGTAGTTCACCAATCAACCACACAGGATCGAACACATAACATTAGTTGTATATATATATCAGGAGTAAAAGTGTGCAAACAATAAGCAAGACTCACATTTAGATGAAGCTCAAGATCACAATAGATGAAAACACAGCAACAAGAACAACGGTATTGCATGACAAGCTTTCCTCACAAGATGGCACGAATGACCTATTTCTAAAGAAAGTTTGAATCATTGACCTGTGCACCACGTTATGGCCAACAAACGACCAGAGGAAGGCCTGAAGAAATAGCAATTCAGGACAAGGATTTCAATCCGAAACTTTTGATGACGAACTATTTTTTATTCCTTCATTTTCAAAATATGACTTTTGTCCAAGAATTTTCGACTTTTGTACCACTGTACATTGGCTCAGTAGTTCACACAAACCTATTTCTCAGACTCATGACTCGGACAAGTTTCGAAGTGAAAAAAATCCAATATCGAAAATCCTACCGGAAAAATCTTCTCAATCGTGAAGTTAGTCCAGTGCTTGAGTTGAGAGAAATTATGTAAGGAAACTCTGCCTCACCATGTGTCGATGCAACAAAGAGTATGAAATTTATCGAAGAATACCACAATATGAAGATATTCTAGAATCATTGAAGCTCGTCTTGTAATAGCTTATATTGTTCTATGAATTCAACAATTCATATTTTGTATTTTGCTTGAAACCTCACTGGATTAAGGAGCTCTGAAAAAAAAAACATATAAAGGGTTATTTTTATACACGGTTGGGAAAAAAGGTTTATTCTTTCAATTCTGCATAACTTTTGTTCTGTTGAAGATATGAATGTCCAATGAAATGCTACTGATAAACTGTCTGAATGGACTCAAAGAGCACTCCCAAGAACAGGTAAAGAATAATCCAACTATCTACGGACCAGATAATATTCACTTTTGAGATGCCTGTTTAGACTAGGTATATTACTCGGACGAGAGAATTGATGTCACAATGTAAAATGCCCGTCAGGGATATCCTAGAGTCAACAGTTTCTCTAGACAGATGGCGCGCCAATTTATTGCACAGTGTGTCAATGATTAGCTCCAAAATCCCTCTTTTTTCCAATCTGTTCTCGGGCGTCTCGAATTATTGATATTAAATCTTCACTCTCTGTCCCATGTGTCCAGCGTTTAAAATTGATTTGGCACTCAGGCTTAGGATTTACTATGAAAAGCCGTTGATATTTTTAATTGAACTGAAATTTTGCAGCAATGAAACATAACAAATGTTCATGAATAAATGAAAAAGTAGCCGGAAATAAAAAAGAATCATTTCACATTGGTGTTCATGAAAGTCGAATCAAAATGAAATTTTAAAGCTTGAGTCAAGTAATTTTAGTAGGGTCTGTCAGTAGAAGAAACCGCATGCCTTACCCATCCTCGTAATCTGTTCGAGGGATTTCTCTCAAATATATCGGAATTTGCAGGGAAGCAAAGCAGCTGCACTCTTCGGGATAACGTGGCAGGTTCCGTCAGTTTCAAGAGTGCGATATCGGAGTCGAAATTCAGCATGGAGAAATCTTCATGGGTGATGATTCGATATATCTGGAATAATTCCTTATTAGTAACAATTTTAAATAGGTACGATTTTATGAGAAGCCTTACTTATTACCTTCTTTTTTTGCACGAACTCATCATCTTGAGAGTTAACTCTATAGTGTTTCCCAAGATAAACCAGAAAGGAATCCCGGCTCCGGACTTTAGGTGATCCCTCAAAGGTGACGCAATGGGCAGCAGTGATTACCCATTTCCTATGAATAAGAGCTCCTCCGCATATGATATCTCTCTTTTCCGTGTCATAAATAGCTGCCTGCCACGGCCACTCTCCTATGAGAGCGGGATTTCCACCTGCTGAGAGCGATGTCTGTGTCGCTATTTTCCCGCATTCTAGGAATACAAGATTCAACAGGATTCACACTTCAAAATAACACGAAGTCGAGAGAAAAAAAGAGAAAACTGACGAGGTTCACAATCTGGAGATTTTCCCGTCCACTGCCCATCGGGTTTACAAGTCCGCGAGTTTGGTCCCCGCATCTTGAAATATTGATTACATGCGTATGTAACACGGGTTCCATTGACATACCTTCCGTTTTGGATGCATTCAGTTATGTTTGTGTGGTCAAAGACTGAATGTCTCTCTCTCGGTTCATTGCGAACGCCTTTCCTAGAATGAAAACAGCAATGCGCTGATTCTCTAGAAATGAAAACACTGGCAATGTGTGTCTATGGCAGCAATCACCCCTCCATTGGGCAGGAGACGATCCTAAAGATTCCATCTTCGATACCAACAAGTTGTCCACATCCACTCGCATCAGCGACTGCAAGAAAGGCAAACAAATACCATGTTATTTCTCCTACTATTGTAATGCACCAGGAGTTCAAAGGAATCGCATTGAAGCTTCAATAAAGGTATTTTGGAGTTTAGTTTGGATATTTTCATTGAATCTCAAAGACGCGAAAAATATTCGGTTTCTCATTGGTGCGAAATATATAAAAACCAGACTTCCTCTTAACAAAGAAAATACGTTAAAGAAAATATGTGCGAACTTTCCTTTACGGGAAAGATGAATATAAATATTTTAATTTTCTAATTAATCAAGTATATTCTGAACTTTACCATCTATCCAAGAAATGCCCATATTTGGGTGCACTTTTCGCGAATCCCGGGCTTGGGAGTGGATGGAAATCCAAATAAAAGAGAGACCTACAATGCTTTAGAAGTATTGCACAAGACAATTATGAATACTTGTGGCAATATAAGTTCGCTTCAACTTTCTAAGACTTCATGCAGAGAAAGGAATGGATTTTAAAATCAATTTGATGTACCTGACGCTTTAAAACCCAGTATCTCAGTTCAGACATTCACACCAATCATACGATGGTATTAATGTAGGGAAACCTGGCGTATTGTTCTATTTGACCGTGCGGAAAGCAATGGACATGGTCTCGTCGTTGGCATTTTCGTAGCTGGTGTGATCAGCGGACACTTTAAACAATCCTGGCCAGCAATGTCGCCCGACCTCATCCCAGCATATACAAGCATAAAGAAGGTCATCACACGGGCAGAACTTACCCCTGCATACCTCGCGACGTGCATCGAGTAGCAATGGGGAATATGGCCTTTTGAGACGATCTTTACAACTTATGAGAACCAGAAGTGAACAGGACCTATGAGTTCTACGTCTGAGAGCTCGAATATTCTGTACCTAGGAAAGTACTACCATCCCGCGTTTCATTACTAATAACGCATTCTATTGGATCATAATCCCGAATGAGCTCTCGAGTAACACACTGGGTTTTTGTCCAAGAAAAGAGTTCCATGCCTGGCATTATCCCCAGATTTGTCTTCTACACAGTTCAAGAGCCAGACAGACGTTAGCAGGGTGACTAAGACGATCTCTCATCTCCAAAAGAGATGAAGGAACTCAGACCAGTATATACGCTATGTAGTAATGTTGTTATTGTCGGCGTATTTTTTGCACTCACCGAGGCTGGAATCTCCAGGAGTCTCCTGCTAGGCTTTGCCTTAAATGTGTCACATTCATTAATTTCGAATAAACGTGCATGTAGAAAAGCATCGGGTACGGTATGAAAAATCCCGGAAACTTATTCCTGTGCCATGGAAGGGGGAAACCCCTTAATCGGCAGTTAGACTGTATTTCAGCTGAAAAAGCCTATAACCAGTTGAGACGACGAAAATAACTTCAAGTTGAAAGAACATTTAGGTTACGGAGAATGCAATCATGGAAACTGAGCTACAGTTTCTAGACTCCAAACAGCTCCACACGGCAGCACCCTGGGCTGTCTCCACATGTTCAAATGAGATTAATTACGAGTAGCCAGCACTACCTTATTGTTTATTCATGGTTGATAGTAAATGTCAGGCACTTCTCAGGATTTAAAGCAACTGTCAATATTAACGCAGTCCTTGTTTCGAATCGCAAGAAATAATGTCGTCCTTTTGAACGCCTAGGTCACGGAATGAGAACTTATCATTCAACTGTCCATTTACCTTTATAATAGTTATGGTTCCGGTCAGCAGAGCTTGTGACAAAACCAGCCATGGAAAAGGTTTCATTATGGAAATTCAATGAAGATAGGGAGGCGGCGTTTGAAAAAATCCCGGGTTCACTTTCGCTTTTACAACTCCCTGTTGGCAAGGACAAGTGACCAGCCAACTGGAAAATTCAAAAATGCATATATTAGTACCATATGTTCTCATGCCATGCTTTATTGTTTTAGAGAATAGCTTCCTAGACTCACTTTATAGTAACCATAGATGGCGTCAATGCAGATGAGAGGGGCACCAGATTCTCCACACCATCTAGAGGAGAAGGTGACACAAAGGGAATTCCGTGGGAATTGATACTCCCCAGTTACCTTCTCCTTGCAAATGGTTGGATCAACCACAGAGGCTGAATAGGTGACAGGTTCTGCTGTACGAACACTCCTACCTATAGCGGAAGAAAAAACTGTGATAATATGAAGAGAGACGTACAAAGGGTAGCAAAGCAAAGTCTTCCAATAAATGCTGCAACCATTAATGTGACTGATGAGTTTGCACTGGGAGAAGTCTTGGAGACTTTGTGAATCTTGTGTGCACAGAATACATGATTCTTCATTCAGTTCTATTGGCATCTCAAGGACCATCATCCCCAAGTCATTCTCAAGGGTTTCTTCTCGAAAACCGTGATGATTCATGTGTTTTCGTATGCTGCGGCGAAGAGGCGTCCCTGCTACTTCAACCGATAGGGATTCGATCTGATATTGACCACTGTGAACCAACAAAATAAAATAAAAATCATATTTTACTGGGAGGAATCAGTAGCATATATATGTAGATTGTCCATCGATTCTGGCATCTAGTCCAAGTAGCTACAAGCTCAATATTGTGCACTAATAGAAATACCTATTGCAACAAATAGTAGCACACATTATCCCGCCCTAATATTTTCACTCAAAATATCAACTCTTACAGGAATATCGCCTAATCACATAGGAAAATTTAAAGTGTCAAATTAATCAGTTTCATCACGTATTTCTTCTCCTTTTCATTCTTTTCTATTAGTTTTACTGCAACGCAAATTTTCAATTTAGTTATTTTATCGTAATTTTTATGCGGTTTTTTCAATGGGTATAGGAATACCGCGTGTGTTAATGCTAAGTCAAGTAATAGAGTCGCTTACTATTACCAGCTTCACTTTTCCAGTCTCTTAACAGCTTTTCTAAGTATCATAAATTTATATGCGGCATTCCATTTCTGTATTGAATATTATCATCACATGTTATTAAATAATTGAATATTCATTCATTTAAAAAAATATTCCTATGAGAAGAGGTACTAAGAGGGAGACAACTACAATAAAATTACTAATTTTTTTATATTCAATGGAAATGTGCAATCCATATGTATGAAATACCGTGTATTGCATCCTTAGCGGGAATAAGATCCTGATATTCATGTCGTATTTGAAAAAAAATGACAATAGAAGACGATGGATACATGTCATAGAGAATGCAAGAAGCCGTGGTGGAGACGAGGTGTCTCTCAATGACAGCCCCACTGCAAACGATTCCACCTCTGGGATCGGTGATGACTACATTCCAACAATAACGTCGATGGGTAGCACTGCTCCTTCTTTCAGCCCAACACACATCTTTTGTGAGCCTCGACCTTGGAATATCTGATGGTAAGGGAAAGATGACACTATGAGATTGATTGACGGGAAAAGAACATTTCAGAGCCAGTCTTGGAATTGGTGAGAATGATGAAGCATGATTCCATTGGAAAGAAGGTCTCAAACGATAAGGGCTTACCATGGACAAGAAGGTATTAATGATGCTGCCACTATTTAAAAAATACACTGCATTCAGAAGCCGACTACTGGCGACCAAAGTTGAAGAAGTTGGAGAAAACCAACACGAATCAATCACAAATTTATATATTCTAAAGTTGCGGTGAACCGACTTTTTAGACCGCGTCCCCTTATCATCCATGTATTAGGTCGCGATCCCCTATCCCCCTCTTTTCCCCCTCCATCGGTTGCGTTTCATCAGGAACCGACTGCAAATTTGGGTAAGTTAGTATTGTGGAGGACTGTGCGTGATGTATGTGCAAACATTTTTAAAGGACTGGAAGTCCTTTAAAAATGTTTCCACATACATCGCGATTGTTGAAAGAACTATAGATGCCTGAAAAGTATCGATAGTCGTATCGATGCATAAACCTATCGTTCCAGCCCTGAATGATACTAACAAGTAAAATCCTTGGCCAGCACAATTACTCTCACTTTTAGACTATAAGGAAGGATCTCTGTCTGTCTCTGTCCATCTGACAGCATTCGGACACCGTTGGAGATTTCGACCTGAAACCTTCGCAAGAGTGTGGGGTCTGTCCAGTAGCAGGTCATAGGGGGGTCGGGGTCAGGGGGGGCGGCTCCGGGGGGGGGTCTCAGGGTCCCAAAAAGGGTGTTCCAGGTTATCTAGATTTCTCAAGCATTGCAGTGAATAATTGAGACACTTTAGAATTTAGAATGTTAGAATTTAGAATTTAGAAATTTTTTTCAGTGCCGTAAGAATATGTGTGAGAAATGGAGTTTAGTTTTTCCTGTGAAATAAGAATATCATGGAGAAACTCATTTAAGTTAGATTTTTGTGAAAGAAGAGCCCCTTTGAGTTAATAATTAATTTAGAACAACTTTTTAAAACTAAGAAATAAGAAATAAAAATATAATGGCCAGAGCAGTACTCCCGTCCCCGTCGGTCTGGCCGGACTTTGACAAATAAGCACTAACAAAAAAGCACATAAAAGAACAACAGCTATATTGCTCCTAAAAAAATATCCCGGGCAACGCCTGGTAACCCAGCTTGTTTTTTATATTAGTTTTATGATACTTGAATGTTTTACTAATTTATTTTGCGAATTTAAAGCGATGTTGCTGGCAGCAATCAAACACCTTTTATTACAATTAAAACCTCACAAAACAAGAAGAATGACTGTTCTAATGCTCATTAATCTGATATTTTAAATAACTGACCTGAATTGATTTTTCCTTGGAGTTTCCTCGATGTATAGTGCTTCTCTTTATTTCCCCCTTACAATTTAATTTTAAATATTAAAAAGCCCTAATTCCGAGAAAAGAGTTAGGGCCAAATTTTGCTCCCTCCTCAGTTTGCGTTAAGTGCTAGGAGTCATAGCAACCACGAAGTGTTGGCTTCAAGTTGAACACGGTGGTTTCCATGTCAAAATTTGCGAAATAGTAATTCTTGCATGTTTGGTAAGGAGAATCCCTATCGTGTTAAATTACTTTCCCAAAGGTGCACAGAACTTGGGTAACAGGGGTATGTTGATTAGCTTGATCACTGGATTAACCCTCTCCCCTCCACTTTCAACATAGTACGAAATGTGTGGCTTCTATTTTCCACAACATTGTCGAGCCTGGTTTGACATTAATTTTCTCGTTTTCTACTTTCACAAATAGCCTGGGTTCTTGCGTTTAATTAAAAAAATTAAACACTTCCATCGTTTATCAATCAATCGATTCTTTGCTAGCACCATGAATGAGTTTATCCTTAGTTTTAAGGTACTTCGCTTCAATCAGGGAAATGTAGTTTTTCAAGAGAGGTGAAAGCTTCTTGCTCAGATCTTGTGCCTAAGGGGCCTGTTCCTGTTGAATCAATTGAAGAGGCAATGAATGAATAAATGAAAGTTATAGCAATAAAGGCTATATGTGTACAAAGTGCAGTAATTATTAAAGCATTGAATGCTCATCAAACGAAGAAAATAGGGACAGCGAATAATCTGATGTTGGAGCTGCATGTGACATTGTGAATGGTTGTAGTTTGTAGAAATATCTCCAAAGAGACGATGGTTTCTCATGTTTCCCATTTCATACTTACCCACACGAGGGCTGAAAATGCTAATTCCAATCCCACAAGGAAATCGACTTCTTTTCGATTTAAATAATCGGAATTACTCATAATTTTTCCAAAGATGAAACAGTTACGCAAGAAACTAAGTTAAAATGCAATACTCAATACAAATGCAATACTCCAAATGCACTACTCTTTTTCGCGCAAGGTTTTGTTGGCGTTTCCCTTCGTGATCATAGACATCATAATGAACTTGCTGAAGAATTGAAGATCTCTGAACAAGAGATTGAGTGGAAGCAGTTTTTTTATATTTTGCCACGATATTCTAGGTTTTTTTCCCAAACATTTTGATGCGTTTCTGTCAGCCACATGCTTCGAGAAAAGCATATGTAGCAATGGACAAAGGTAAAAATGTGGTGAAGTAACTTGACTGAAAAATTAAGTATAAATTCATTTGAGGAAAATGTGTTGCTGTTAATGAAAGTATTGTAGTGTTCAAAGGTCGTATAGCCTACAAATGTCAATGTCCAAAAAATGAAACGACAAAACGGGGTCTCCAATTTTTTATTGGGAGACTGCGAAGCTGGATGCTTGTCATTTCATTATACCCTTTACCTCCCCAACCACAGAAAGTCTGATCGAACCAGACATGCCTTTTTCCTCAAAAAGTGTATCGCAGATTCATGAGAAGGTGTTGCACTCAGTCAACTGGGATGGCATCCAAGTTTGCACCGATCGCTTTTGTACGTGTCATTATCTGACGCTTAAGCACCTGAAAGTGAATACCTATAAAACTGGGACTGAGCAGGCAAGCAGGAGAGGGTTATAAAATCGAAAAAAAGAGCGAAACTTAAAACATGAACTCGAGGAACCTAGTAATAATAGTACAATTACATTTATGCAGAGGAGGGACCAATGGGTGGTGCACATCCTCAACACCTATCAGAATATTGGCAAATTCTCGGAGCAACTTGCTAGTAAAAGGAACGTGGTTTAAGAAAATGAGAAATGAAAGGGCAATGCTAACTACGCAGCAGTCAGCATTCCATATAACCGGTATGCCTATTGCGAAAACTTCAAGGTTAATTGTGGCATGTTTTATTTAACTTTCCAGAAAAAAAAACATACGAGGTTGTGGAAAACAAGATTCCTTTTTGATCAATGTTTTCTTTTTTAGAAATGATATTAATGCTGATAAACGTCAACATGTAGATCATGGAGGGTTATAAAGAAGCAAAAAATTGCACATTTATTCTTGTCTAGCGGAAAGCACTTCTGAACGTCATTTGTATGTTTGGATCCTTTCGAATATTTTGAAGGGCAAGGACAATAACATGTTTCAGGGCCTCCATATCGCGGAAAAGGGGCAACCAGATTGTCCGTATCATGCTGATGTGCCCAAAGGTATATGCTAATTTTTCAAAAATCTCTCAAGCATGATGCCATTGCGTTAACTTAAAGGTTGGAGAGGCTGGGAGTAATCGCTCCCAGATCTATTGCAAAAAAGGCTGCATCTCTATTTATTGTTATCCCTACAGCTCCAGCTCTTCCTTAGAAGCATGAACACTATCTATAGCCATCGGACGCAGCCATGACTTCATAGCCAACCTGGTGTCCAAAAAACGGCGAACTCTCCAGGATGCAGACCTCCATTGACCTATCATTATATCAGTCTGACCAAGACTACGACATCCTTCCCTTCCCTTATTCAATCGGTAAAGAATCGCGTGCGTCTTAACCCTCCATATTGTACGAGCGTTACGATACGCTTTCATGAACTGCCTAAGCTTGCAAATGATAGTGCAGGAGTCAGACTTGGAGGTATCGTTGATCCCGACTTGTAGAATCCCCTTCAACATCCTGACTTCATCCTCTGATTTCCCATCTAGCATAACTTCTTTCCATCTCAGAACCTTATTTTCAACACTGACGCCTACATCCTGCAATTACTTGGCCTTTGCTTCCTTAAGAACCTGCGCCCAGTTCTGGGATACGTGGGACGACGGACAAGCGATGACCTTGCGTCTAGATCGCCATCTGACTGGGCTCCACTCCACTGCGATTATACTCCTCTCTCAGGTTGTGGGAGTCTGTGAAGTCTCCACAGTGCCTCCTCCGCCCCAACGAGCCTCACAGTTATACTCCATCAACCTGCGGTCACCTTGAACCAACTTATTCTCCACAATGATGAGTCTATCGATGAACTCCCGTACTGGTCCACAAAGGCATTAACTAGAAAGACCTCATTCTCATTAACCACGCCTAATCAATTCCGACACCTAACGCAATTCCAAGCAATCCTTAAATTATTTAATGTTTTTCGAAGCTGCGGATCCTACCTTACTTTACCTAATCTTCATACTATTCATATTCCAAGTACACCTACAAATACCATAGTCAATTATAACCGCGCTCAAAACCTGGTAAAAAGTAAACAGTCTACTTGTGGGAGTTGACCAGAAAAAAAAACTGCGAGCATTCCACCAGTAAATACAGTGCTAATTAAAGCGAATATCCCATTTGCCCTCATGGATAGGTAGACAAGGACCTGCTGTTCCGCTTGGTGATAGGCACACTATCGCTAACTCACGACTGCACTGATAGACCCATAAGGCACACGCCCTATCGCATCGGGATGGGTTAATGGGTTCGAAGCGTGCTTTAAGTCAAATTCCTTCAGTTCCAATTTCAAATCGACTCTATGTCGACATCTGCATTTTATGGTCAATGTGCGAACTATTGAACGTATGTGTTGATCAATATCTAAGAAAACTACAAGGTAAATTTCAATTCGGAATGAGAAAACCATCCATAGATCCCGATTAACAGGAAAATCGATGGATTTGAGTTCAAACGACAGTCCCAATCCCTGTTTTACCGGGTTTCACAAATGTCCCTGTACAACTTTGAAATTAAATTTTAAAAGTTAATATGAAAGTTATAACTAATCTGTTCATCGCATCATAAAATGCAACTCAAAAAGTGTGTGTTTTTTTTACAGTATTAGAATGCAGAAATGTGCGCTCCATGTGTTGCAGTGTTGCATGGAGAACGTTAAGGCGATAACCAATTTCTTACCATGTTCACTATAACATGTCCACATCAACATTTCTTATTGAATTGCGAATTCTGTTCATCAACTGATCAATGTTCACTTTTGTACGGTATACTTTGATTTCTCCCTATGGGGTTATGTGAAAGACGAAGTATATCGTACAAAAGGGAACAACATTGAGGAGTTGAAGAACAGAATTCGCGATGCAATAAGGAATGGTGATGTGGATATGTTACTGTGAACATGACAATAAATTGATTATTGTCTTGATGTTCTCCAGGCAACACATGGAGCATGCATGCATGTCCGTATTCTAATAATGTCAAAATAAACTTTTTGAGATGCATTTCATGATGTAATAAACAAATTAGTTCTAAGTCTTAACTTTAATTTTAAATTTAATTCAAAGTTGCACAGGGACTATTGGGATACCCTGTAAGAGAAACGAAACACGTGGTTAAAAAAAAATACTATTAGAATATGGTGGTACCTTTGTTTGAATCCACTTCCTGCTGCCTCTTCTGGATGTCTGTCTTCGAGACGCAACAACGTTGAGTGCCAGGACATAGGTAAAGTTCGGTGAACTCCCTCAATCCGTTGCTACTGCATCTAGTGGAGAGATAATGCTCCATGCATCTGCCAATGGGAGCTTCGCAATTTGCGGGGACAAAAGAAGTTGATAACAATCCTGGCTTGCTCCTATCTGGGACCGTCTTTGTCCTACAACAATATGCACCTGTTTCTTGGCACTCTGTTCCATGCTTGACAGTATCCGACACACACGAATCAATATCGATATGAGAAACGCAATGGTCAAGACAAGGAGGCAACGAAGGGGTATAAGAGGAAATTTCGATGCGGCAGCATATTCTACTTTGGTGACATGACGTATTTTGGATATTCGTCCCAGGCTTACACAAGTGAAGGTGACCACGATCAAGGCATGAATGAGTTGAGGGGCATTCTTGAATCTTGGTGTTTTTAGGCGAAGGAAACTGTTCACTTGAGATGGAGGAGAATCGGCAGCAGATCATATCGTCTGTAAGGCAGTTATGAAGTGTTACAGTGCCTTCATCACACAAGGACTTATAAGTGTTTCTTATGCACTGATAACCACCAAAATTAGAACATGTACTACTCGCCGGTTTTATCGTCGTTGCTCTCTTTGTTGTTCTTGCCGTTGTTCTTGTTGTTGTTCTTGCCGTTGCTCTTGTTGTTCTTGTTGTCGGTCTTGTTGTTGGTCTTGTTGTTGGTTTTGTTGTTGGTCTTGTTGTTGGTCTTGTTGTTGGTCTTGTTGTTGGTCTTGTTGTTGGTCTTGTCGTGCTTCTCGTTGTGAATTGTTCTACTGCTCTTGTTGTGGCTGTTGTTACTATATTTGAAATTACTGCCATAGGCAATTCTGGAGTTCCCGTCGTTGATATTACTAATTGACAACACAATTCGTCTGGCTGACAGTTGCTTTCTATGGGAGAAATTACTGTTCCCGGTCTACAGAGAGGATGGTATTGAACAGCCACACATGCGTAAGGACATCGGTTGCACCTTTTTAAAGGTTTCTTCTGACTGAGATTTTTCAAATCTCCCTCGTAGTCACATGTCCCTTTAACCTTTTTCAACAATTCTGGTGAGAATGCCAGCCAAGCCACATAGCAATCACACTGGATTGGGTTCACTAGGAAAGAAAAATAGGAAATTGGACCATTACTATGATGACAGGAATAAATCTAGTAGCAATCTCCTACAATGGAAAAACACAACTCTTACCCTCAAGATGGAGAAACGCTCCTCCTTGCAACATTGCTTCAAGCATAGGTCGAAAGATGCCTTCATTCACAACAGCGATTTTATTCCAGCTGAGATCAATTATTGTGGCACCTGTGTGACCTGTAATGGATTTAGGAACATGTTGCAGCACACGACGAGAAACTTTAGAGAACTCCTTTTGGATGGGCTGTGGATGAGTGTCTACTATAGTTTAGTGCAACATCAGTGCTTCCTTTGAGTGTATAAACGGATGATGTTCACTGTATAGCCGTTATCCCCCCCCCCCCAAGAATAATGTTAATGATTTCCTGCTACCTGTCACCTATGTTGAGCATTTTATTGAAATAGGAATGAAACTCATTTTGCATTAGAGTCTTTTCAATTTCATTGAGCGTCTGCAATTTGGTATGGCAACGTATTCATAACGGAAGAATTATTTCAAAGTATTCTTATATTGAATGGGTGTCCCGCAAGTTAGGTTGTAAGGGATTTTCCACTGTGTTAAATTCTTATTAAACTTGGTTTGCTATTATTTTCTCCGATATTTTAGTTGCTACATGTCATTATTGTTAAGCACATGCTTAATTTCATTCTAGGTTAAAATGGAGGGATCCACGACTTAAGGCCGGAGGGTATTTGTCCTTAAAAATGTATACATGTCAGGAAAATTTTTCTACTGGTGACTGCAGCTTTATAGTAGAAATTCAAAATTGCAAAGAACCCATATCAGTCGGCAATTCACTAGCTTACCCAAAATTTTGACGAAATAAATTTTTCGAATAATGCACCAATAAGTGATTGGTGTTTTCCTATCCCAGCAAGAATAAAGGAGAATAGACCATTTGTCTCTGAGCGTGGTGTCAAAGTCCAAAGAAATCCCAACAACGTGCATCAAATGAGAACAACATCTCATGCAAAAGCGTGCGACGTGAATGAAATGTGAACATGAACGAAAGCTGGTGTCACAGAAGGATCTTCGAGTTCAACGATTGTGAAGAAAATCGTACTCTTTTTTTTTTTATAAAAAAAGCATTTGCACTTGTGAGAGCGAAAAAAGAGTCTCAGAAGGGAAAACACCCCGCAGCTATAATAGTTAAAAATGTTGAAATCATTCGTTGGAGTAAAATATGGATGAAGAAGATATCGTACCTGTGATGGCTCCGTGCTCCAGCTTTTGAATGTTGTTTTCCAATAGCGACACTTGTCTCAACACCCTACTACGGAACTGCATCAGACCGCTTGTGAGAGTGGGTCCTAGATTGCAACCTGAACACGAAAATTTTTCCAGTTTCTCCAAGCTCTTGATCATTTCGGTGGGAAATGTAATCCGGGGATTGTAACCTGAATAAAAAGAGTGATGGAGAGACTTGAGGAACAATATCCATCAAATGTGCAAGCACAATAAATTCGTCGTGAGGAAGGTAACATTGCGGGGTAGTCTACCGATCCCTATTAATCATCTTGATAGTGAAATTCTACAATGCCGATAAAAACAGCTTCAGAAGAATTCACACGTCAGACGTATCACCCATGGTAATGATTTATGGAAAGGACATGATGTCACCGAAAAAAAGGTTTTCCTCAGAGAACTAACATTATTTTGCTTCAAGTTTGACATGTCAAGTAAGTACAATGAGATGTATCTGGAAAAATCCTGCTAAAAATGTCGAAAGCGCATTTCGACGAGGAAACAACAATGATGAATAACTGAATTTGACTGCAACAGGACCCGGATGAAATTGGATGAAATGCATTACAAGATTCTGAATTGACCTCTTTCCGACATTGGACAAATATTTTCCTCTATCAGTTACAACATGCGTATGAGTGCATATGAATTTTGTGACTATTGAGGAATAGAGCTCTTAGGAATTCATTCAGGAATCATGAGACCAGATGGTGCTTGCTCACTGAGGTCTAATTCCTTCAGGTTCGGAGTCGCCCATCCATATTCCTCTATTCTTGTGATGCTGTTGTATGGAATGTTAAGTGTTGCAAGGCTCTGGCTCTGAAGTGCTGGAACTGATGTCAGAGAACTATTCCAGATCGAGAGTAGCCTGAGACGGGAGAACAATGGAAGAATGTGGAAAGGAAAATCCTCCACGCGACTGAATAGGATCATCACTGTCTCCAGAGTGTCCTTAGACGGGAGGAGAGCAGACTGATGGATACTTCTTAAGGCTGTGTAGTTGACCCATATTTCCTGGAAAGAGAGATCTAGAAAGACTCCGTCCGGGAGATCTTGAACCCCAGGGTTATCTATTAAAGCAAATTGCCTGGAACGAAAAAGAGGGATATGAAAACAGTTATTACTACAGTACCTGTACATGTACTTAGCAAACAATATCAGGTCCGCACGCATCTAGGTGAATGTCCCACAATGGACAAAATATAGTACAGTGTTAGACAAATGTCTGGAATCAATGATATATTTGATTATCTAATATACAGGATGAGACAAAAAAACGTGCCGCTCTTTGAGATTAACTGAAGTTCATGGAACAGAAGATAGCGCGTCAAATTCTTCTTTGCTACTACGTATCTTTGAAACGTCCAAATATGTTTTCCGTTATTCAAGAGCCGTCTTAGCGTCTTAGCAAACGTACCAGTGGAAGAGTATTTGGTAGTGTGCAGCGCACAAATCTCCTGCCATAGCCCCTCCACCTTCCCATGAATATGCTGCTCTTTGCGAAAGGATGGGGTTGCCAGAATTTCGTAAGAATTTTCAGGTGAAGAATGAAAAAATGTAGGCCTATTCTTGACAGATTGACTCAAGCTGCGATGAATCGTTTTATCCGAAAGGAAAGCGAAGGAGCGGAAGACTAAAATTAGCTGGAACGGAAAGAAACCGCTTTAATGTGAAGAAGTTATTATTTAACAATATGATGATCCTGGGATGCAAACTCATTTCATGCAAATTGCCAGACCAAACTGCCATACGAGTCAGAGATTTTCTTATCTTCCTCTGAAGTGCAGATGAAAAAATACTGAGAGTGAACGTCATTCCGAGCGGCTGGGACAGGTCCTCCCATCAGCGTAAAGGTGCAGGAACAAAAATAAAATTACAGTTGCTTTTGTAAAATCATGCTTGCACCAAAACGGCTGGAGATAAGAAGCAGAAAAGTTTTCGAATGCTCAAAGGATGTGTACAGATGTGTATGAAAGGAATTTCATAATTCTAGCTGCTGTTTCAGATGTACACCATTATTTCAAAAAACAGCTCGTTTTTGGGCTCACTATATGGACGATCGTGAGTGACTGACGCAAATTCTGACCATGTTCTAGAGAAATTAGACATGTGGAATTTGATACATGTACTGTATGGCTATTGATATGCGGAGTTCAGAAAATGTCCTACTTTGGATGTACACGCCTTGGGGGCTCACATTTTGAAGATAGATTTTTTTAAAGAAATATTTTTACTTCAGTCAAAGGGTTAGACATGGGAAGCAGAAACTATATGAACGTGTATACTAAGACATTGAGTTCAGGAAAAATGTCAAGTTTCAGATGCATCACCGCGGAGCTTATTTTTGGCGGGTGACGCTCTCAAATAACTTTCTTTTAGATTAGTCATGGCGACTTGGGCAGAAATAGAAAGGTTCAATTTGGCATAAGCACAACTAACGTGAGGTTGAGTTCAGGGGAAATTCCGCTTTTACGTTGCGCCTCCTCAGGGCATATCTCTTTGGTGAGTCAGCTTTTTCAAACATATGTTTTCACAAACGAAGAGGTATAATATGAGAACATGGTGGGCATGTAGTTCTCGAGGCTTTGATCTCATTGACAATTTTAATTTTAAAAAAGTACTTTCTAGGTAAAGGTAAAAGGCGCTCCTCTGGGCACCTTTTTGCGAGAGGCGCACCTTCCCGAATCTTTTTGATCCGATTAAACATATACGGATAAAAATTTGAACTTTGCTTAGAAGTACCTAATGGATATCTGAGTAAAAAAAAAATCCCATATTTGAAGTATGTCCCCCCAGGGCGGATTATGGAAAGGGAGTATTACTAGTTGTATTTTTAGCTCTGACAAAGGGGCACATCAAGAGATTTGAAGTTACGCACAAAGAAATCATCATAGTAATGATCTTGATAATGAAAGATAATCGTATGTTTTCACACTTTGAAAATGAATTCATGATTTTACCATTATCATAGATAATGGAGCGCCGAAGGTGCGACAATAGCGAGTTCGTTTGCATGACGCGGCCTTCATGGGCGGAAAGACGACTTGGATCGGAAAGACGACCGCCGTCGTCTTTCCGATCCAAGGTAAAGCGCTCTTGTTCTTTCCCATCCAAATGCGGTACTGCCGCTTTCACCCTCGAGAGTCACGCTCCTCGTGAGAGTGCCGAACAATACGAGAATGGGGATCTGAGGATGGGGATGGGGATCTGAGAATGGGGATAAAGGGATTGAGACCCTGATACATATGAGGGCGGGGATCTCATTCCGACGAGAAAATCATCCTTCCTTTGAGGAAGGATGACTTGACGTTGAGACTACGGTTCCTAACACGAGCAGCATACGATGCTCTGATATTCTCGACCATAGTCCAAGACATCCACGGCATAAAGCGTCAGGCATACAAGGCTCTGCCACTCTGGTCCGCAGGCTTAGCCTTAAAAAATTGAAATATGCCTTCTTATGCCGTAGTGAATGGTCTCCATTCATCTGTGACCTAACACGGAAAGCCTACTAGGTAATGTCATTCTAGGGCCAAAGGCTAGGCCATAAAACTTTGGTAAACTTTGAATCTCATATTGAAGACTCCTTATACGTGGTGATTATTGTATATTCATTTCACATTTCTCAAATTCCGCCAATTAAACGGACAGGGTAGCGGTTGCAGGCCGCTAGTAATATATCTAGTATATTAAACTAGCTGAACCCATGCGCAAATGCCAGGAAATGGTAATGTAGCGATTTCCAGGTTTTACCTGAAATACCTAATATCCAAAATGCATATGGTCTGAAGTACTAGGTTTTGTCTAGGGTTTCAACACCTCCATAGAACAGTAGCTTTAGAATGCTCTCTGTTGATATTCATTGCAGAACAAATGACAATTTTTAAGAATGTTACTATGGATATTTGACTTTAAAAATTCTACAGTTTTTATATATTAATACAAAACCTTTTGGAACACGATGTTCTTCGCATTGTTGTCATAGTTGCCTGGGTATCGGCCTTATTCGTGGTCCTGTGTCTATCTTCATATTGACGTTTTCTAAGCGCTGCACCCTTGGAAAAGCTATATGCAAATGTCCATTGAAAAAAAGGTTCAGGAAGGTACAATCCTATTCGTCTGAATGTTTGCCCTTGGCACTTGCTGATAATCATGGCTAAAGCATGGTTTGGAAACTGTCACCCTTTGAAATTGTGACGCATCGTCGGGCTTTACTTACCATTTTTGTTTTTGATGACCTTGGCAATTACACCATACTCTAAAGTCAATTCATGGGGAGCAAGCACGGCTGGAGTGAGGCTGTTGATGAACCCCTCTGAATAATTTATTGGATACTTTGGGAAAATTTTGCTCCTCGTTATCCGAGACCTCACCATCGACACTATATTAGATCTTGTACGCTCTATTTCGCATATTTATTTTAAGTTTCTGATGAATAGTGAATACATGTTTTTGTCATCCAAATAGACGTGTAAAGACATAAACAAACGCGTACGTTTTCGTAATCACGCTATTTTTAGGCGTGCCGGCAATTTTATGACTTCCCACAATATAGATAAAAATGCAGCTGTGTAGTCCCATGTTTCATTCCAGGGAGTAAATATATAATATCAGTGGGTAAAATAGCAATCTTTTCCGCTATTGCAGTAATCTGTGGTTAGAGCCCTGCACGGACTGTGGCCGGCCCGATCGCACCCTCCCGAACCTACTAGATCCACGCGCGGGCCGTCTAGGTCCGAATTTTTCAAGATCCTTCTTCGGGTCGGATCAGGCAGAATTTCAACAGTTAAATGTTATGGTTCTTTTGGTCTAAGACAATGGAAACTTCATGTTATGACTGGTATCTTCTTCATGCATGCAACCTGGGAGAAGGGAAATGCTAGATTGTGTGATCATGGGACAGTTAGTGCCAGTCCAGACCAAAATCTCTGAGACTGTCTCTTTCAAGAAATTTTCTCCTGCCTGCCGACAATCGACTAGGGTGAAAGACGCTGTGATGGACCGGTCCCCAGTGATAGACACAGCACATAAAAATTCCAATAGCAAAACGTTCATAGTACCCCTACCCCTGTTGTGACAGGCTAGCAGCATTCAAGCACATACACACTTCAGAGATGGTCATGGAACAAATGCCTAGTTATAGGAAATTTCTTACAATGTTGTCAATCACTGAGTACCCGCCCTTAACAGGACCATCATTTGGGTCTTTTATCCTACCTCCTGTTTTTACACAGCCACTTGGAATGATGAGTAAATAATGGAAAGCATAGGTTAACGCTTTTCACTTTTGCTTCGTTCAGGTCGGGTGAGAGCCGCGAAGTAGGATTGAAATTCGGTGAGGGCCATGACTTGAATTGGGCCTATGAGGTCGGATACTGTAAAATCGGCCCATGCAAGGCTCTACCTGGGGTAACAAAGTAGTGAACCATTTGATAGCTTATTACTCATCCTAGGTTGAATATATTTTAAATCTGACCATACTGTGCACACCTACTGATAATAGATTTTTGAACGGTGACTAACATATTGTGATATATTTAACCATAACGTCCCAACGTGGCTTACAAACATACATGAGCGTATTATATTTAGGGAAGACATATATAGATTGATTCAAAGTCACTTGAATTCTTTTTAGGTATATGGTGAATATCGATTAGTTAGCTCCAAATATTAATATTAATGTGATGCGTAAGTTACTTCTGAAGGAACGACAGGATAATAGTTGTTTTACCAACACATTTCTCGACTATTGGGGTCACTTTACTCCAAATTAACCGGAGCGTGAGCTCGAGGATCTGCGATTTCGAAAAAAAAATCGGAATGCATATAGACGAGTTGATTCGAATGAAGTAAATTCAACAAAATATTTCTTTATCTCACACAGATTTTCAGAATATGCATTTGAGTGTCACCAATTGTTGGCTACTAGCGTCTGGAATAGTGACTTTTTTGCAATAACTTTCCCCTTATTAGTATAAAAACTTCGTTTTGTTGTGGTTTTAATTGTGAAAGTGACATTTTTACATTATTATAATACCCAATTTTCCGATTTTCCAAGAATAACTTCCTCTGGATGAAAGAGTTTGATCAAGTTCTGTATTGGATATGTATAGTTACCACCACCGGAACTCGTGGTT